AATAAAATGAAAAATTAAGTTAATAAATTTTTTTTGTTATAAACAAACTGTATTTTGTTAAATTTTTTAACACCATGTTATTGTACATAAGAAACCATTAACCTCATCCATTAACAATTTTTTCGTATGTCTTTCCGTTTTCGAGATAGCCGTTTCGAGCCAAAACTTCAAGGGGTGGTTTCACCCCTTAAACTCGAGTTACCGCAGCTAAAAAAAAATACGTGTCGATTATTTTTGGCTGCTTTATAAGTGTACAAAGTTTCATCAAAATCGAAGCCGGACCGTTCGCGAACATTCCTTGTGAGTTATTTACGCCCAAGTCTAATTTTTTTACTCTTCTAAGCTTCAGAAAAATGTGAAAAAATTCTGAGATACTCATCGAAGTCTCTGTTATACAATTGTTCGTTAAGTCGTGTGTCTAAAACTCGTATCGACAAAAATAAAAATTCGTCTCGAATAAATGTAAGGGTGAAATTTGACTTGGGTCATTAATGACCAAAGATTGCTTGCGAAGGGTTAAAATAAATTCGAACGTTAACAGTGAGAAGCGAAGATGATGAAAACGTTCGAATAGATAATAATCACGACACAAATACGAAGATGATAAATGTATATGTAAATTAAGGAAAATGTTGATCTAGCCTGTAAATCTTCAAGTTAGATTGCCTAAGCATCTTTTACTTGGCAAGGATAGTTTCATAAAATGGCGTCTCGTACATAATATCGGAGCCAGTTGTATAGTAGCTTGCAAATCTCTGTGCTATTTTCTGCGAGGAGAGAATATGATCATCGATTTTCCATCGTACTTCGGATATTTGCTCATCAGGAAGCGTAAAATTGAAAATTCCAAGAACGGCCATAACCTGCGCACGAGAAACCGGAGAAAAAAGTCCAATGTATCCAATAGACTTTATTTTCTTTCCCTGTGCAACCGCTGTTTTTCATCTTCTATTCCAGCTTCCTTTTCTCCGCCTCGTGTGTTTATTTAAGGAAAAAGAAGGAATCATCGTTACTCGCACTCTTCCATCCTTACTTGTCGATACCTTCTTCTCTCCGATCGTACATTTTTACTTTCTACCATTGCTCGGGCACAGCGAAATTTCTCGTTTCTCGAAAAATGCTGCATCCTTTTTTTTCAACACTTACGAAGCGACGATGCTTGTTTATTATACGAAGAAAAAATGAAGTAACGAGAATCAATCGTACAAGGAGAGGACATATAGCGAACGACGTAATGTAATTAATAACAGAGATGGGGATAGAGAAGAAATAAATATGACAATCGGAAAAATAGAGATAGAGAAGAAATAAATGAGCCGTTTTTTTTTTTTTTAAAGCGGTACAAGTCCATTTGCAGCTAAAAAAACCTTGTTTTTCTTTGAAAATATTAATAATTATTATCGGATAATAAAATTTAACGTATTTACAATTTTAGAAACATTACACGAAATTATTAACGTTTGCTGATATTTTTTAATTAATTCTGGACTAAATGGACTTGTCGCTTTTAAAAAACCGCTCAAATATTACAGTAAGAAATGGTTAGGTAACATTATCAGAAGTTCTCCTCGTGTTCAGCCTCCATTTATTGGCGCAATACAAGACACTAATTCGTTTCGTTATTTGTTAAGCGCAAGGTTCAAGTGCAGAGAAAAGTAGCAAGTCGCAGTTATACGGTGATAACACACACACAACATTTATTGCAAAAAAGTTTCCATTACATGATGTATAAAGCGTGCAACGCACGACTCTCTCCAAGAACAAATAAACAGTCAACCGAGGCGTTCCACGAGACGCCGCAGACGATCTGGGCGACCGACCGTCGGTAACCTAGAGAACTTCCTCCAGTCTAACATTATTACAAATTCTTCCTGTTTCTTCTAAAAACTTACATTTTCCATTGCAAACGATAAATTCCAATTTTCAGTTCCTTTCAATCGATAAACCTCGAAAAAAAAAAAGAAGCAGAAGGTACATAACGATTATTACTCGTTATTTGGACATTTCTCAGCTAACCCTTATCTATTGTTACCCTTTCTCATTACAAACAGTTGGGCGAAAAGGTTGGAAAAGTCGAACGAAGGGGAAGAAGAGAGTCAATACATTCTCCATTTGTTTCTCCCAAGCCATAGACTGTTTATGTGCCACTGATTTCTCTCTTTCCTCGCAAACTTCGGAAACTACTTCGTTTCCTTGTCTCTTTCTATTGGACGCGGGGACTTGGGAAGAACGATAAGGAGGAAATATGCGCGCACGGGTTAGCTTGTGAAATCAGGTGAAGGGAAGAAGAAGAGGAAGGGATGGAAATCGATTCCCCGTCGTTCGTCGATTGGACAATAAAATCAATTTCCCGGTAAATTTCTTTTCGGGCTTAATTAGATGCATTCCCGTGGAATTTTCATTGGACCTTAAAATATATCTTCCTCGTGCCCCGCCGCTCCTTACAAGGCTCTCCCCGTTTCCAACCTCTCCTCCTGGCTCTCCCAAGCTTCCATTACCTCCGTGTCCCTCTTTACGAATGCATCGACGTGCCTGCACTCGCCTTCTAAATGCACGCTCTATTTTCTCGTCTCGGGGCAGTACCGAGACGCATCGGCTGCCTTTGCAACTCTCTTTCTACTTTATTCCTTTCTGCTTCCCCTGCATTTTTCTCTGTCTCCTATCGGGGGGTGTCTCTGGATTCCACTTCTCTGCCTTGCTTCTCGCTAGTCAGATCTCTCGAACGAGGGAATTCGCATAAGAAAATTTTCAAATGATGTTGCTGCTGCTTCTTCTTCTTCCTCTGCCAGCTGTAGATTCGTAATAGGATTCGCACTGTTCTCGCAAATAAAAGCGAGGATGCAATACAAGAGCTCGTTTCACGTACCGTTGTTTTTCTCGCAACTTTCATTTCACTCCGATGCTTCGTTTACTCCGTTATTCTTTTAACCCTTTGAGTGGTGAATACTGCATATCGAAGCTCTTCGTATGGATGGAAGCGCGGCTAGCGATTGCGATCGCCGCGGACGGAATACTTTTTTGTTAGTGTGAACTGTAATTCTTTTACGTCAAATTAACCCTTTGACTGCGAAGCGTTCAGAAACGAAACGGACCAATCGTGCAGTGCTTTAGCTGCAACAGCCGTGACAGTGGGGGCCTAAAGGCGCTGTTCGCCCGGAGAGCACGACTCTTGCTGGACGCCTGTAGGCGCTGTTCGCAGTTAAAGGGTTAAATGACACACATGTATTCTTCATAGGTAAGTAAGGAACACACGTGTATTCATCTCATGTAAAGATAATTGTAACTGCACTACGCGGGAGATCGGAAAAAATGGTCTACACACCGATAGCTTTCGCCGGACGCATATATGCATCCGTAGCACTTAAAGAGTTAATACCAGGGGTGTGCGAGAACCCGAAAATGTCGGGTCGAAACGAGAATTTATCTCGGGGTCGAGTCGAGTTCCCGAAAGTATCTTGTGATTCGAGATTGTCGGGATTCTCGAAAATTTCGGGATTCCCAAAAATAGAACGAAACTATTGTCGGAGAACGTTGACAAACTAGCTTTTCTACACGAAAATATGAAATAAATCATATCTATCACATATTTGCTTATCATTTTCGTTCCATGTTCTATTTCTTATAATTTTATAATTTTCGAGAATTTCCAAATTCTCGAGAATCCTAAAATTTTAGAGAATCCCGAAATTCTCGAGAATCCTGAAATTTTAGAGAATCCCGAAATTCTCGGGAATCCCGAAATTCTCGAGAATCCTAAAATTTTAGAGAATCCCGAAATTTTAGAGAATCCCGAAATTCTCGAGAATCCCGAAATTTTAGAGAATCCCGAAATTTTAGAGAATCCTAAAATTTTAGAGAATCCCGAAATTTTAGAGAATCCCGAAATTCTCGAGAATCCTAAAATTTTAGAGAATCCCGAAATTTTAGAGAATCCCGAAATTCTCGGGAATCCCGAAATTCTCGAGAATCCCGAAATTTTGGAGAATCCTGAAATTCTCGAATTCTAAGATACTTTCGGGTCCCGACCCTTTCTCGACCCGAGCATCGGGTTCCCGACATTTTCGAGTTCTCGCACACCCCTGGTTAATACTGTTTCCGAAGGAAATCGTTTTCAGTAATTTCTTTGATTAAGTTCTCAACATTCCTACAATACTGCATCGTAATCGAAAAGTGTCTGTATCTCGGAAAAAACGAGTTTTCACACCTGTTTACCTTTTCTCATGCTTAGAAACAGAATACAAAGTTTGGCCACCTATTTCCTTCTCACCCAGTGTACATAAAAACTATAACGTTTAATTAATAAAGATTTTTCATTTGCCGTTGATATGTTCGAAACGTCGAAAATGGATTTTACGATCGGCCAATTCCCAAGGAATTAAAAATAATTTAATTATTTACCGAACCATTGATTTCATCGATTTCTCTATTAGATGGGATACGTTTTGCTGGCGGCTGCCCCGCTCGTAGTTGATACGTTGCACCTGTTGCGCTTGTTTTACTTCCAAAACTTTTATTACAAAGAAAGAAAAAAGTGAGGAAATATGAAAATTGTTTAAACATAATACCTCGAGGACGTGAAAATAAAATCGACGAATTACGTTGCTGATTAATTTTATGAATAAAATTGAGATTTTTCTTTTTTTCATTTATTCAGTTTAAGACGCATCAACCACTATGGTTTGGGTTATCAGCGACTCAGACTTGTAGAACGGAATTTACAATTTTTCCAGAAGATTTGTATTTTTTAGAAATGTTCGATGAGTCTTTTTCTTATCATTTCGGTTTTTCCGGATACATTTGTCGATGTCGCAAAATTTGAGATTTAATTTTTCAACTTGTTTCAACATCTCACAAGTTTCCTTTGCATGTAATTAAAATAAGTGATTTTTCCAACGGAATAGGCAAGTTTTAAACGAAACACCCTCTACAGCAGTGATGGTGAACCTATGACACGCGTGTCAAAGGTGACACGCCAAGACATTTTCGGTGACACGCGTCGACTTAAGTCACCTCACAGCCGAAACCGAGCGTATCACAAATAATCATCACACAAACAACAACGAAAGACAACGGTGTCTATTTTCTATCAAGGAGGTTCGGAATCGTTAATTCGAGGTGACACGCGTCGACTTAAGTCACCTCACAGCCGAAACCGAGCAGATCACAAATAATCATCACTCAAACAACAACGAAAGACAACGGTGTCTATTTTCTATCAAGGAGGTTCGGAATCGTTAATTCGGAGCTGAACCATAGCGAGTCCATGATCGTACAAGGTCGTAACGCTCGCAACAATTATGGATATTTCTAGACGTGACACGGCACCCGAGTTAACACGTTGATCGCGGAGCCGATTTCGCTGTGCTTTCTGTCCAGGCGGCACACAGTGGCGATCACTTCGCGAGCTGTTCGGTTGTAGAGTATAAACAGAAGATAACAAATGCGCTCACACGGCATTCAGACGAAGAAATACCAATCCGGGTTGATAGAAGAAGTGTTCATAAATTGCAAAAAAAAAGAAGGAGAAATGCATAACATTTATTTTTCAAACATGATACTGCCGATCCCACGGACCGACGCCACCCAAACGAAAAGTTCTCTGTCAGTCACCACGGACCGACGCCGCCTAAACGGAAAGTTCACTGTCAGTCACCACGGACTGACGCGGCGCTTAACGTGTTAGCTAGGTTTTTTCCCAACTTTGACACACCGAGTTCAAAAGGTTCGCCGTCACTGCTCTACAGTGTAGACGCAGCTTTACACGCATAAAACAGAAAGTATTATCATCCCGTCCTTTAAAACATAAATAACAAAAATTACGCGAAATTATGAAGCTCGAACAATAACCATTCAATGTACTATCCGTAGAGTAACGCCGAGGTGTAGAAACAAAAATTCATTGAATAGTAGTTGCGAGATGAAAATTTCACGGACACAGAGGGTGGACAGTTTTCTTTTCTTTTTTTTCGTTTCACGAAGGCGGGCCAACATTCTCTCTGTGGTAATTCCGATGTTAGGCGAGCTGGACGAACTCCAACCACCCCATTTCACGGGACCCGTGCTTGTTATGAGAACTTAATTTTAATAGAGTTATCTATATTCAGATGTAGCGTGATAACGTACTGTAAATTAGAACCAGACGATGTTGCAGCTAACCAGAGTTACTATTTTATCATTATTAGCACCGTTAACTGTCTGTTGATTAATGATAACAGGTCCGCTCTGAATTTTAATACCATGATAAAGACCAAGAGATTAATATTCGTTTCTTGATACCTATTTTGAGACTTCGAACGTTTCCCAGGTATTCGCAGGAATTTAAACGAAGTAACATGCACTATAACTCGGTAGACAAAGCAACAAAAATGATTTCGTTATAATGGTAACAAGATTGAAAATAGGAATAAAAATAATAATAATAATGATATTATATTAGGTCATTCCATAAGTTTCTGTCGAATTTTATAATTTAGATCAGTATTTCCATCGAATCTGTAAATTTGATTAAAAAAAAAAAAAAACCAATGTAAGCGCCTTCTCATACCACAATTTTTTTTTTTGTAAGATCATTGTCATTGCTATAGCACTTCCTTGAAATTTCATTAAGGCATTTTTCTTTTTCGACACGAATTTATGGGATGACCTAATGTAATGTCATTATATTATTTTTATTCTTGTTTTTAACCTTGTTATCGTTATAATGAAATCATTTCTGTTGCTCTATTTGCTGAGTTTTTCTAAAAGGAATCGACAGTGTTTTTACTTTGACGATGAAAAGTTAGCGACAAGAAGAATTTTTAATTAGTAATTAATTATATTTAGATAAATTTGATAATGTGAAATCTCAGAATATACATTATTTGTGTCATCTTTATCGTTAAATATATAATCTCCATTGTTTACTTTCTCTGTTGCATGATTTCCATGAAAAATATTTTATACTAATCATAACGCAACGAGCATTGCAAAATGTTGTTAATTACCGTATTTATTTCTACCCTTTGAAGCTGACGTTTCCTTGCCGCTACGGAAACACAAATCCGATTTCTAACCAGGGGAAACATTATGCAGGTAGTTTACAAGGTTTATGGTGGTGAGCACCATTACCCTATGGAAGCTTCCAGAACGATATGGGTCACTCGCTAATTACCGCTGCATGTAATGCAGTCGAACTTGACTAACGTGTGAATAGAAGCAGCTGGAATTAGTAGTCCAATGATCGATTAGAAATGTTCTAATTAGATGGGAAAGTTATCTCGTTGTCTGTGATAGGTGTTCGAAGCGTGTTATGTCGGGGGGAAATGAAACGAGTTTGCAAAGGTTTCTAAACATTTCACTGTTCAGCGTGTACGTACCGCTGAAAGTTGTAATTTATTGTATAGTCGGGGCCACGATATAGCGAGGTCGTAAAATCGGTCAGACGTCAAAGTAAACATGTTTTAGCTGCCGGGACCCGAAAATTGACAGAGGTACGAGCAGATAAGTACTTGAAACCATTGTCAGGACCGTATGAAGAATTCTTGTATCCAGCGAAAGTCAACTGATTCTAATATACTTACTGAAAACTGCATGCAGCTAGGACAAATTAGGGTTTCTCCCTGTGGGGGAAGCCGCTTTTGGAAGTACGGTTACAGGTAAAGGTCTTATTGATGTCTCTAATTCCATTAGAGGCCAAATGTATCAGCCGGTCAAGGCCACTTCTCTGCTATAGTAGAGGCCAAAAGTATCGGCCGGTCAAGGTCGTTCCTCCTTCGTCACTTTTCGGTCCTTACTATTCGACAATTAAGCACGTTGACTACCACGTTGGTCACCTGTGACCGGAGATTGTTTCCTCGATGGGGCGCCATGGTGGTCATCAGTGACCGGAGTGCCTCAAATGTTTAGAATAATTCAAATAAAATGAATATCGTCAACTAAAACTTTTGAACGTCATAGCTAACGAGACATTATTTTGAATTAAAAAAAGATAATAAAGCATAATATAATATTATGCTTAGAATAATGAAAATTTTCCTATAGAATTTTTCCGTACCGCCTTCAAACTACGCTTGCACAGACGAAGGGAACATATTGATATAAAACAAAAAAATAGTAGAAAGTAGTACGCTACGTAGAATACAAAGTATTGATTATAAGGTATTATTATGTAAGTTAAAATAGCAACATGCACACTGAAAAAGTATATTTTCAAAAATAGTAATTCTTAAAGTAATTTGGAATTAGCAATTAATAATCGGTAATAAATGAAATTGCAACGAATCGGAAGCAAACTTAACGCAATCTTGAACTAATTTAGTTATCTACTTTAATTATTTATGCTCATCTGTTAAAGAAAGATAAACAAATATTTTGTCAGATTACCATAACGAATTACTAAAAATTCTGTTGTAACTTAATTGCAATTTTAAATCTCACTGTCCGTTGGATAATTAATAAAACCAATGTTTACATTTGCAGCCGAAAATTATACAAGGCACAGTTTGTAAACATTTAAACTTCTCCAGTTTCTCCTTATATACATACACATTGCAGAAAAGTGAACAACTTAACAGTAAAGTTGCATTTCGAAGCACTCGTAACACCCACTATAAGCTGTATTACATTACGACTTGATCGAATTCGGAAAATACAAACTGGTTTTTCTTGTTACATTCGCAGGTTCTCTGGGAACTTCGGTGTTCGACACGGACGTATACCTCGTTGGAGCCAGCGGGGGCGTTTACGCCCTTCTTGCAGCTCACCTAGCTAACGTGCTTCTCAACTACAATAACATGGAGTTCGGTATAGTTCGATTAATAGGCATTTTTGTGATCGGTAAGATTTGGAACAAAATTTCATTAAAAGTCGTATAAGAGCAAAACCAAATTTTTTCAAGAGTAAAGGGTGAAGTGTTTTTTTTTTTTTTTCTTTACAAAATGAAGATTCGAAAAATCCATGCGTTCGTAGAAGAAATTTAACAAATCTGTCGAAATTTTTCTTTAAGGAAAAAGAATATGTGGACATTTTTTTTTTAACGTAAAAAAAGGAAGAATAAAGTTGTATTACACCTATCGTTATTATTAGTATATTGTAGGCCTATTCGCGAATGTTCCGAGCTCCTCAGATTTCACGCGAAAAATTTCGGTTACTCTGTCGTCGGGTGTGCACATGTTGCTCGCGCAGTTAGCATTCGGGGAAGCCCCGGGCGAGTTGACATGGCGCTGCGATCGCGTGGCCGAGAGTACAAATAAAAATAACCTTAAAACGCGATCAAAGAACAAACGCAGACTCGTTATTATTTCGTTTCGTTCCCACTCCCCCGCGTTTCATCGTGTTCTCCACCTTCGATTAACCAATATAGCCTACAATATTTGTATCTGCAATTTTCTGCAACTGTGCTTATTCGAGAGAAAGTATTTTGAAATTAACGACAATTTTTGGCACTTCGTTCTTTACTATGTAATTTTAACAGTTGTACGTGATATTAATGCGAATTCGACTGCAGCCTTAGTTTCACATTTAAAAATAACCTGTAACAAATAAAGAAAAGTATGGAAACTCGTCGGATAAAAATTTGCTGACTTTCTGTATACAGGGTGACCCGTTTTAATCTATAAATGTTAATATTTCGGAAACTTGCTTTTAAATGCGATAGAGGGGGACACTAGTACGTGCAGATGTAAATTCGCTAAGTGCAAGTGTCAAGGTCATTTCAAGATCAGTCCGATTTTTTTAAATAACAGTATATTTGATGAAACGTAACGAAACGAATTTGACGACTTCATATGTTGCACGATTTTATGGAAAAGTGCAACAACCCTTAGAGATAGATGTCTATGTTACTTCGTCAAATGGAATGTTCAACGACTTCATATGTTGCACGATTTTATGGAAAAGTGCAACAACCCTTAGAGATAGATGTCTATGCTACTTCGTCAAATGGAATGTTCATATTGGATTAATGGATTAAAATAAATGGTGTTCACTGCGAATTCTCTTAAACGTATTTTATTTTCTTCGGCGCGGAAGGACGTCTTAACGCTTTGAAAATCGCAGTCGAAGTGAAGGAAAAAACCCGTGAGGGCACGACAGAAAGTCTGTTGCGCATTTAAGAAAAAGAGACCAGGATTGTATCAGTCTATTATTTTGACATAGCAGTGTTTCTCATACATAACACAATTCATTTTTGCTTACTAGCCGACGCATTATTATTAGTAATAATCCAACAGTTCATTTACATTTCATCGTTGTATCGTTCTATTTTTCAATAAAATCATGCAAGTCGTTGAATTCGTCTCGTTACGCCCATTTTGTAAAAAAAAAAAAATATATACTGTATTATTTTAAAAAATCCAACTGACCTTGAAGTGACCTTGGACTTAGCGATCCTACACTTGCACGTACAATAGTACCCTCCTCCATCTCGTTTAATCCCCCAAAAGTCAAGTTTTCCCATTCAAAACGCAATTTCCGAAATATTAGCATTTGCAGATTAAAATGGACCACCCTGTATATTTGAAAAAGAATGTATGTACATTAACCGAGAGAATACCAGCAACTTTTATTCAACAAATACACAGTACCCCGATGGAAATGCAACTTTCACTAAAATGTACCTTAGAAAAGTGTGCTTTTTAATTTAAGGTTATGTTTGAATTAACACATTAGCGTCGGAGATGACGCACATATGCGTCATTCGGGTTTTCACACATCTGTCTGAAAATAAATTTATAAAACGCTCTGAATGGCTCGATTCCCCTTCGGGAAACGCCATAACACAGACGTTTCGCGAATTAAAACAACTGTATATATGATTTACGAAAAACATCGATTAATTAAAAAGTTCTAGTAATTTTTTCCAACGTGTAACGCGATCGAAAGAAAAGACGCAAAATCAACCCCGTACCCGTGGGAAAAACCCGTGTCCAAAACGCTCCGACGCCAATGTGTTAATGTACGTCATCGGATAGTAACGATTCGTGATTTCTAAGAGAGAAATTTTTCGATTTTCAGCGAGCGCGGACGTGGGATTTGCGATCTACGACCGATACGCGGCCGAACAAATGGGTCCGCCAGTTTCGTACGTGGCGCATCTGACCGGAGCGTTGGCGGGGTTGACAATTGGCCTGCTGGTGCTGAAGAACTTCGAGCAAAGGCTCCACGAGCAGTTACTGTGGTGGGTGGCGCTAGGTGTCTACGCGGCCTGCACGATATTCGCGATCATGTACAACCTGATGCATCCGGACTATCCATGACGCGAGGTCAGCTTCGCGTACGGGCAACCGCGAAACACGTAACGCGAAGCTGACTAGCATCGAAAAAATAAGCAGAAACTAAAGAGAAAATGACAAGAAGAGCGAAAGACTATAATACAGCCACGGAAGATTTGCAGCTGACAGAGGAGAGAGAGGTCGAGATCGAATCTCTGTGAAGGTTCGACGAAATGTAGTTTTAAATGTTTTTTTTTATCTTTTTTTTTTTGGACATGTTTCGGAAAATAGACGAAATTGTAAAGAAATGAGAAAATGTGCGATCTGACGAGAAGCAAAAATCCACTGAATTCCGATTTCGCGCGACGGTTGGTTGGTTGCACAGTGCAAAAGTTACAAGAGACGATAACAAGATATTTTTGTCGGAAAGAGATTGAACATTGCAGTCGGTTTACGGTGTAACATCGTGTAACGTCGACTCGAGGAATTCATGAATCAAGATGAAAGAAGCGATAGGAAGATTCGGTACGTGTGAAAGAGAGAAGAAGCGCGAAAAGGGGATCCATAAATTTTCACTTGGCGAACAGTAGCAGTGTTTTCGGAAGCTTTAACAAGGATTTAAGAAGTGGATGAAAATCACGATGGAAAATAGCGAGAAAGATGTTTGCAACATTTCGAATGATCTTGGAAGATTTTTCAGATGAGCAGTGAGTGAATTATCGGCACGAAATGCAATTAAACAAAGAAAGAAGAGAAATTATTTTCTAATTGTTGTTATTCACGTAAGAAATGGGTTGTTTTTCAAACTTGGTTAAAATTCGATGGAAAACAGAGAAACGATATTCTCGTTAAATTTAGTTATTAACACAGACTGAAAGAGTAGAAAAGAAAAGGAGACAATATTCCAAAATACGTAGAATGTAATAATAAACTCATTGCACATCTTCGTTCGAGTTGAAATGAAGGGAAAACGTCGAAAGGAAGGAAAGTATTATCGGAAGCGGGAAGAGTAGCGTTAAGCAGAAATGAAAGCAAGAAAGTGGAGAAAAGGAATCGCGACAGAAAATTACATCGTTTTCTAGTAAAGAGGCTTTATAAAGTGTCTGCTTTTTATTCGTCAGAACAACACAATTCGATCTAAAAGATAAAAAAAAGTTATAAAATTTAGTGTCGAAGAAAGAATCGTTAATTAAAATAACATCAAAAATAAGTTGCATCAATTTCTCGAATATATACGTCTTTTTTTTTCACATTTCAACGAAACGAATCGAAGAGGATTTGCAAAAGAAGAGCGAATAAATCAGAAAAAAGAGAGCAAGAAATTGTAATGAAGCAATCGATCCATGCTCTTTGGGCGTTAGCATTTTTCTACTTTCTCGGTGAGAAACCAAAGATTCGAGATACCTCGGGGATTCCGTTTTCGAGACCCAAATGTCGTTCAAATTGCGAGAATTGTGGCGAAACGTGCGCAACAGCGGTCTGTGGAGCAGCAAAAGAAAGAGAACAAAGCGAAAAAAGGAGAAAAAGTCTCTCTCCGTTTCGCGGAGACAGATACTAGCGAAAGAGGGAAATTCTTCTTCCCGAGCGCATTTTCTCGCTTATCGGCCGCCCTTGAGACATGAAGAAACCAAAGAATCTTCCTAGGAACGATGGTCCTCCTTTGTCCGTTTCAATTTCTCACTTTTCGAACGAACACGGCTATCAGGCGTGCAAGAAAAGAGATATAGGCAAGATGTTCCGGGAATCACTCAAGGTGTCAAGAAAACAAAGTGTCCACAGATACAGGAATAAAGAAATCAAGGGAAAACAGAAGGGAAAAAGGCGAACAGACAGGAAGAGGAATATTCACTGTTAAAGGAGGACCGATTCTAGAAAGTTTGCTATGAACGTGAATTATAAACAGAACGAATAATAGATACAAATGTAGAAACGAGAAAATCAAAGAATCAAACGTGCCTCCTCGTGTGTTACTTCATTTCGGATAAGCAACCACTTGTCGTCGAAAACAAACATTACGTAACAGGCATCCGATCTGAAGGGCATTGAACTCAATCGTATCTACACGTTGGTGAAAGAATAATCGAAGAACCCAGTGACGAAGTAAAAAACGAGAGATGATTGTCGTTGCTGAAACGTTCCTTCGTGAAACTAGTCGGTCATAGACAATGGATAACGATTCGAGTCAAGAGAGAACGACGGCGCGAATTCGAAGAGGGAAACGTGGTAAAGACCGACGTATGCGCATCGTGTGGTGCGCAGAACCGTTAATGGCGCTGCTGTCTTCGGTAATCTTCAGGGCATTTACGTAATTAACGCAGAATGCAGCACTTGCCGCGTGAGAAAAAGGAACCGGTAAATCGTTCGATCGGCTGCTCGACGTCTATTATTGCCTGTGTCGACGTGTGGTCATCATTACGGATTTCCTTTCGAGGGTGTGCGTCTCATAATTGCGCGAGAGATAGAACCGCGCTCTAACCTGTATACCATTGTAAATAATTCTGTATATAGCCGAGAAGATGAATAACACGTACGTTCGTCGCGTGTACGTCGAGTGTGTGTGAGTGTGGGTGCGTGAAAATAAAGTGAAAATGATAATTGCGCGGAACCGATGGAAAATCGGTAGACCGCGCGATCTAGTCTGATAATCGCGAGATTGCGCAGCTGCTCCTGCAAAAGGAGAAAGAAAAGAGAAGAAACAAAGAAGAATATTTTGAATTCAGTGTTTTGCGGACTATCGTGGTTTTTTTCCATAAGATTTAATCGAGAGGAAATTAAAGAGTGGTTTGCGCAAGTCTGAGTTTGAGGTTAGGAACTCTTTCTGGTCTCGTTTTTTCTACGCATTATTAATCGAGTAACGCGCGATAATAACGCGATTCCATATGCATCGTAGGAGAATTTCGTTAAAATTTTGGTGTTGTGAGAGAGCAAATATCGATTGGCGAACACGAAGAAACTGGCACAAGTAATCCTCTCCGTGCCTAGTAAAGAAGCAAGGAAAACGATGTTAAAGCGATCGTTGCGATTTCCATGAGATCTCCGCGGGGCGGATATTGTTCATCTTGTAAAGTCCTGTTTGTAATTGAATTGCGTGTTGGTATATTTGTAGTTTATGTTTCGGTTTAACGACCGGTGGTCAATGTTGCGCGTGTTGTTCGACTGATCGTGTCGCGGGCTTGCATGAACGTAGGCGTGTGTTTTCTCAGTGTTCTTAATTTATTTGCTTAATTCTCGTTTTTCGTCGCACAGTGCGCAAGCTCCTTCTATTTATTAATACTTTCCCGCCGATGAAAGTATGCGTCGCCGGCAATTTCGTTGCCACTTCGATCTCCTTGAGTGTTCACCTCACACGTTCATTCTGTTTTCTTTTTCCCTTCTTTCTTGCTCGCCAATCGACTCCTCGTGCTCGGGAAACGTTTTTCAGTCGACTTTGATATTGAACTTCTATATACTGCTTAATACTCGGGTTCGTTAAAATGTAATTTCTATTTTTCATTTCGTATACGTGTCTCGTTATCAGTGAGTGAGATCGGTAAAAATGCACATTTCAAAAAGAAACAAGGAAAAAGTATATTCATAAAGCCGTGGTCTTCTTTCGTTCATGAAAACTAATCGTCTGTGCGAGAGTTTCACGAGAGAAGAAGCAAGAGAAGGAAAGAAAGAGAAGAAAATTCGTACCAAAAAGTCGATGACGAAAAGGCGAGCGAAGTTCAAACCGAGAGTGATTAACGATGCTAGTCAATTAGTAGAGACAGGAGGCGGCAGCTAAGACATTAAAACATTGCCGGGGAAAGGTTTTTCGTTTTAAAAGGCGAGGAATGGATTGAAAGTATGCCAAGAAACCATAGGGTGATTCAGTTTATAGTCGCAATATTTCTAACGTGTATCCTTGGACCAGCTATGCTTACAAATATTACAGTGACTGATAATTGTTACGTTAATAGCAACTTTTTCTCTTTCTGCAATTTTACAATTGATCACCAAAAGGTTCAATTATTCAAACATGCTGTGATTGATACTTCAAAGTTTCATCCTGAAATTTTGCAAAAACTGTTAATAAGGATCTGCTGAAAAATTCATATAGTAATGATTAATCCGAACAACTTCCGAAGAACGTAAATTTGCAAATAACATCTGGAACAGTTTAATCCCAATAAAACGATCATTTCTAAAATGTATAGTAATGTCATGTCGTAAGAATTGTGTTAGGGACTTACACGATACTGTGGTCTATCGTTGCAATCATTGAATTGTTACACAATAGTGCCGTCTGATTTCCTCTCGAAGGACCACCCGAATCTTATTGCAGGAATCTGTATTTTCACTCTGATCTTTCTATATAGGGGAAACCTCGACGTTTCTCCTTTGCCTGATTGCGATCTAATTATGAGACTTTTCCATTGGTCTGTAGTCGACAATGCTGCTTGCTTTTCATTTTTGCTAAATGCACGCTGATTGGCCATTTGAATGTTTGGCAACAGCTCGGGATTTCTCCCATGTTTGACCGCGTCAGTCTCTTGACCGTTACTAATGAAACTCTGAATCACCCTTCGGAAAGGCCTACTTTATGGCACGGATTTTGGCTATTGAGGACGAGAGAAATGACTTTCGAAAATCTCCAGGGTTGTAAACTCAACTTTCTCTCGGCAGGACATATTTGTCAATCGAAACGCATGTTAACCCTCGGATAGCAGATGGCGCAATAGTCGCACGCACAACGGTTGCTGTGACAAATATGACTCAATAGTAAAATCTTTTTTATACGCAAGTGAAACTACATTCTTTCTTATTTCACTAGGAATTATATTGTTTAAAATTATACAGGTAGAAACAAGAGACATCTAAAAGTTGGGTCAACGATGACCAGGCGTCCGTTATCTGAGGGTTGATAGTAACTAAAGTTCTAACCTCAAAAATAGCCTCTTCGACGTGTCCGTGTCATAGATCGCTGCGCTAACAAATTGAAATCGTTGATTTTTGTATTACATTTGTTTTTTTGTTAGATTTCTTCCAACAACTATCGTGGCTTATCAATAACTTTTCCAAAC